GGAGGAGGGGGGGGGGAAAGCCGGCACAGCCGCTGCGCGTACCAGCTTCTGGCAAATGTGAAGACTTGTATTTCTGACTTAAAAAAAATACTTGGTTTGCTTTGACCTAATAAGTTTGGAGGGAAGTAGACTGCTTTCTTTCACGTAAACTGTTGTCCCACTTTAATAGCTGGTGCTTCTCACCCTTGTGTTGCCCCTCCGCCCTCCAAGGATGTATTTGCACAGCAAAGGCCACTGCATTTCCAAACCTTCCTTTGTCTGAAACAGAGGTGGAGCACCTACAGTGCAGTTCCCTGTCCTGGTCCTACAAGGCACTTACGGACGCCCTGCAAACAGCAATACCCCCAGCTCCACGTCAAGAAGAGAAGCGAAAACATACCTGAGGTATGTAAAAGAGTCCCAGCAGATTGGCCACAGCGGTAGAGATGCCAGAGCCGGTTGCCCCCACGACCGCGATGGTGGAAGGGATATGTTCTGAGCAGTTGCAGAATTCGTCCAGGTTCAAGGAGTCTATCTTGTTCTGGGCCACGAAACTCAGCGTGGCCTCGAGGGCTTTAGAGACTGTATTGCAAGTGTCAAATATCCTGTACCCTAGGGTCATGTTGGGAAGGAGAGTTGGGCTACTGTTTATTTCTTCTATGGCAAAGATCATAGCCTGGAGCCAGCGGAAGCCTCGGAAATTATACCTGGGGGAGCAAAAATAAAAATAGAAGAGTGAGAAGGAGAGAAATGGAGGAGACCAAGACTGAGACAAAGACAGAATGAAGGATTCCAGATACAAAAAACCAAAAGCAACTTACACTGTCTGGTTCGTTCTTGCACCCTACTAAATTTAGAAAGTTTTGCTTTTGTCTTCGGTGGTTACAGAAGAGCCTTGTCTATGCCACAAGGTTTTGTTGTGGTTTTCAACTCTTCAGTTTGAGAGCTCACTTCAGAGGTCGTGAGGATGAGATCCGCTTTTCTAAGTCCCCTAAAGTCTGGGAATGTTGACAGAGAGCATCCCCGCAGCGTCCCTTCTACCTTGTCCCTTCTGCTTGGGCTGCTAACCCTGGATCTCGCGATTCCTGACACAAAGCTACACCTCACACACATCACACACTCCATGCTGTGAGATGGGGCACAAGCAACCTGTCTACACCAGAGAACAGAGACATGCCATAAACGTAAATCCCAGCTTCCTGACTGGTTAATTAGATATTGCAGTGTTTTCATTAAAGGAATAACTTCTCCCTTCGTTGTGGTGCCCTCATACTGTCAAAATGTCTCTCATTTTGCTTTAGACAGGAGCTCAGAAGATGCCATCGGAGCTGGCCTGTGAAGTTCAAACTGGTTTTTGAAGCCTCCTCTGTGCTCCACCTGCTGCAGGACCCGGAGTGGCCGTTCGGAGCATCGCGCGGGCTGGCAAGGAAGGATGCTGATGGGGGCAGGTGACTACTGATCCGAAAAAGAGGGAAGCTTCTTTGTGGCAAGCAGCAGGAAGAAAGTACCTTTGATGTGTGTCATTCTCAAGTTTTACTTGCCGTGGTTTTTTCCTGTAAGAAAAGTGGGTTTGTGCCTGTGAAGCTGCCACGTTTTAGGATAATTCAGCTGGAACAGCGGAATCTTTCATGAACTGAAACCTGCCCTTCTTTGTAATGCACTATAGGTCAGGACAGCAGTTAGTTTGCAGTTTTGTGTTGAGTTGCAGCTGGAAACAGTGAAGTGTCAAAGCTGTTATGCTTGAGATCCATCGGGAAAACTGACAGGCCCCTGAACTGGAAGAGCCTGGGGAAATAGCCTGCCAAAGAACAGATCCTGCAGGAAATCTGTGGATTTTAGGTTTCACATGAGTGCTATTTTGAAAAGCCTTGAGAGATGTTTCCATTACCAAGGTGAAGATTTCTGAAGATAAGCTTCATGAAACGATGAGCTTCCAATTTCTGAGATATACAACCTGAACATTTTTTAATTGCTGGATTAAATGAGTTGCTTCCAAAGTTGACGTTAGCCACGTCTGACTTCTTTAAAGCTGAATGAACAAGCCCCATTACTTCCATTCTAGGAGTTCCATCTAAGATCAGAAGCTCTAAAGGCATCACTTCTAAGGTTTATCTCTAAGTCTTAAAAACTTTGTCTATTCAACTTCATTTCACCTGCCAATTTCCAAATGAGGTTGTACCTCAAAGACCAAACACTGTTTCATCACAAATCTCTTTGAGTCAAAAAATCTGAGGCCAATAAAAATTCTTAGTTATCCTTTGTGACCAAAGGGACAGGTAGCTATTTTCAGATCGCCCTTGAGAAAACGGAACACGTGAGTGTGGGTCACAGTTAGAAGCAATTTGGTCATTTAAAATGTTTTTTGCTCTAATTCCCAAGCTTTAAGGAGCGAGATGCAATGGGAGAGCTCTGAAATAAAAGGGCAAGTCTGGGAGTGAACGAGGCAGCAAGTGTTGAGCACAGAAAACAGACGTGCCGGGCACACCGCGCGGTCCGTAACGCTCCCTGGCATGAAGGGCAGCAAGGAGGGGTGTCGTGATGCATCTTTTTAAAAAGCTACATGTATTTATGGATATTTTTAATTCAAATGAAAACAGGATTTGAAGCAAGGAACTATATTCAGGCTCCTCATGTAAAAGAGGAAAATCTGGAAGCGTTTTCTATATTTAAAGGGAAGACTGGTGAGAAGCTGGGAAGTTCAAAGGTACCACTGTACCACTGTGAAAAGCTTCACGCATTCGGGTATGTGTAAAAGTAAATTTAAGCCTGCTCACATTAAATTATGCAGGTGGAGTGTGACACGGAATTATTTTGCATGCTTGACAGCAATTTGGCTTAATTTTTTTTTCAATGCAGCAAGGTGGTATCTTCAAAAGCAGTGAGAACTGGACCATCTTCCCTCAGCTTCAGAGAACGTCTCTGAATGTTTCAGAGATGCAGACTAAGGCCCACGACACACAATTGCTGTTATTTTCATTTCTGACATACGTTCCTGATGGATGTTTATTCACAGCACAAGGCCTGTACTGCAGGTACTTGTGTTTGGATTGATTTTATTTTGGAGGGGAAAGGAGGGCAGTGGGTGTTTTCTGGGAGCTAGACTCCAAAATGTCTTTGATAAGCTTTTGATAATTCACCTCGAACTAGCCTGTGCAGGAGACTTGTGGTTCTTCTCAGTTGCACCTCTGCTGATAGCAGCATCAGCAGATCTGGAGAAGAGGATCAGATGGGATGGAGACAAACGCCCCTCGCTCTCCTGATGGACCTTCAGACAAGGTCTCGATTCATTAACCGACACAGTGTCGTATCGATACCGCACCAGAGCTAACACGGATATGGTCAGATGAAGGCAGCACCACCAAACTAGTCTAAATGAAGCAAGATTTCATGATTCCTTCAATCCCTGTGAATGAAAATTGTCCGGCTAAGTTCTCCAGCCCAGCAAAGGGCTGCAGATAGGCTCCTCTTGGCTGGTCGAGTACAGGAGCGATGGGTAAGAGCAGCCTTTGAACCTGGAGCAGGTTACACCGATCCAGCTGACCTCCTGTGCCATGCTGCTGCTGTGACTAATGACTAGTCACCGCAACGCTCTGCCAACCATGCAGAAACATGACCAGTAATTCCCATGAAGAAACTGCAAAGGATTTGCTAACAGCAGCAAACTCTTCCTTAGATTTCCAGAAGCTCTAAATAGTCACTGATAGTTTCTTGGTGGAAAAGAAGCAGCCTCTGAAACTAATTTTCTGCCGTATTACTTCACAGTTACGTGGGCACAGTCTTGTGTTTCGACGTTTCTGAGACGTGGCGCTATGTGACACGTGGCCATTAAGCTCTAAATGAGAGTTTAATGTAAATAATTCAGTGGCCAAAAGCACAGATAAGAATTTTTATCTACACTCAGTTCTTTCAATGTTTCCCCTCTCGTGCCTGTTCTCCCACCTGCCAAAGAGTGTGCGACCCACTGATCTTTCCATTCCCAGGCAGGAGCACAAACAGGGA